TTGTAGTTAAAATTTATCGCTTTTTCTTTTGTTATATGGGCTATACCACTTGTCAGTGTCCAATAATTACTACTTTTGATTCAAAGAAAATGAAAACACAAGAAGAGGATTCTTACTTGCTTGTCACTTAGAAAACTTCTTTCGTTACATAGAACAAAATTACATCCAAGAAGATTGAGAAAAAAATGAAAGTCGAAATAAATGCCAAGGATTACCTCCAAGGACTTCGTACGCCCCACATTGGATTTCCTCCAACATGGCGCATGGGATTTCTGTCTACCACTAAGCCTCACTACATGGAAAGCATAGTCAAAACCCTTTACTCAAGATATGAGAGCATGAAACACCATGGGATAGGGAATCTAGGGCTCACAATAGCTAGGCATGCCACCCCTCTATGGCTAGGGTGTGCCCCCTACTATTATTATTTTAAAGCCTAAGAGAGAAAAAAATAAAATAGAAGAGAAGAGGAAGAGAGAGAGTGGTGTACCTGTCCTTGGGAGCGAGAGAGAGGTCAATACCTGAGGTGTGTCTAATCTCATCCCCAGGGGGGTTATTTATAGTGCAAAACTAGGGTTTTGAGTTCTAGGGTTTTCCATCCTTATGGAGATTAATCTTAACCGTAGATCAAAGGTGCCGTGGGGGTATTGAGATCTTAGCCATAGGTTCCTTAGATTAACCATCATGATTAAAAGAAATTTGCTAGATCTTTATCCCTCATTTCCTTAACCTAATCCCATCAAAATCTAATTTATTAAAATGTGTCATTTAATTTCAATTAGTGTCATATAATTTAAATCAATTACAAATCTTTCTATTTTGAAATCAATCATCCCTTTCTCTCTCCAACCTTCTAGAGAACTTTCTTCTCAAGTTTCCACGAGCGAGAGAGAGAGAGGGAGAGAGAGTGAGAGAGTAAGAAGTTATGGGGCGTGCCACTCGTATGTCCTACTTGTGGGCCACATGCCCCTATCAAATGGGCTCAACTTGGTGGGTCCTTATCAAAACTGGGCCCCACGCTCTCTTTTAAATTTGAGATTTAATAAAATGATTTTTAGAAGTCATTTAGAATGTTTAAATTCCATATGTATCTATGAAACCCTGAAAAATCAAAATTTTCTCTTTGAAAAATTCTTTTTGATAAAATAAAATATACATGGCACTCTAAAAATTCATTTTAATATTCTAAAATTTAGTTAATATGAAGTTAATCATTTAAAACCATTAACTATGTTAAGGATAATGTGAATATATTGAGGCGCTCCATCTCTACTAGCGACTATGTCCTACACTCACTTTCTCAAATTGACCCAACAATTCCCATGCTTACAATAGTTTATGATTGGATTATCAAAGCCCACCAATAGGTGAAGAGAATGCAATCCTAGTCCATGGATTACAGGTTCCCTTCTAGGGACTAGTCTAGGTCACACAGACTTTTGCATGGGGGTTATCTCTTTAACACATGTACATTTCAAACCCCCAATGGGGTTCACTTCCCAAGATGGTTATATGTACATACTTCGCGATGGTCATAATGAGGTTTTGACCTTCGTCCACTGAAGCCCTCCAATCGCATACAAGGATCGCGAAGTCCCTTTGCCAACCACCCTTGGCATCTCATCAAGGGTTAACACTACAAACCTTGACGGTTGTGCCATATGCTGAGAGCTACATGGTTTTAGAACTCAACCTAGCCTAGCTTGTCGAGTCTAGTTTGAGTCTTGGCATCAATATTGCCAATTTTGGCCCCTTTGGACCATTGCCAGTACTGGAGTTAATCATTTCACTATGATGAAATTTTATTACATTCTCGTAGGGCCTTTAAATGACCATATAACTCCAACACTATCTATACAATTTTTTCTAAAGGTGACAACCCATGGATTTATTCGTTTGCATCTTGGAAATGATCTCATGTTTATCTCCTTCTGAAACTAACTGTGCAAAAAAGCATTATTCACATCTATCTATAATGACACTAAATGCTTCATTATAGCCATGCCTAGTTTTGACATTAGTCATATTTATCACTGCAAAAAATGTTCCCAAGTAATTAGTCTCTTATCCCTAACTATGTGGAATGCTGTTGACACTGGCGTGTCTTTCAAAGGATCCATGTAAGTCAAGGTCTACCTCATATGCGCAATTTTAAAATTTGTTGCTAACTTGCTATGTACTTTGGACTAATTAGATTCACATATCTGTTTTGTTTGAAGATATGGGGATGTGGTTGGAATTAGTCCAAAAAGATATGGGGACTCATGTCCTCATTGAGGATATGGCCTTTAATAGAGCAGAATGGAGAACTAGGATTCATGTAGCCGATCCCAATTAATTGGGAAAAGGCTAAAATGATGATGATGATGATTTGTTTTGTTCGATAATTTGAATGCGGATTTGCTTATCATACTTACTACTATTTGTTTGAAGAATGACGTTAAAAAATGTGGAAGATAAGAGTACATGCGTGTTGAACTTTATAAAAGAATCTGTTTGCAGGAAGAACTATTCGTACACACCACCACAGTCTTTTGGTTGATGGGAAGCACACACATCTTCTTGAAGTACTTGTCTTCCTGAGCTGCTCTTGGAAAAAACTTTTCACTCATAATTTGTATGCTATTGGTTCTATGCGGTTGAGTGCTTTCAAGAGTGGGCATATAGTAACTTTGTAAGTCATTTTGAAAGTTAGGGTGATGATGGACATATAAGTCATCAGATTGAAGACCATGGTTGATACAGGGAATTCAGGAAAACAATAAAATCAACAAGAAGTTAAGGCCAAATACAAGCAATAAGATGGAGAAATCTAGAATTTCCCTCACGCCTAAATGAAAAGACCGCCCTTAATTTAATGTTAGAAGAGACTTCATGTCCATGCAATAAATAAAATGACCCAAAAACTCCTAACTTAAACAGAAAATTTGTAATGACAATTTTACCCTTGATAAAACACATATTCCAGAAATACTCTTAAGTAGGTTTCTAAACAACTCATAAAAATCCAAAAAATATTAAAAGAACGCTAGAAAAATTTAAACACCCTAAAAATAAATCCTAAAATTAAAATTGAACAATACGTCCTTATAAATTAAACAAAAATTAATAAGATTAATTTTGTCTTGCATCAGTGGTACTTTAATATTGTTATCATAGTGTAAATTACTTTCATATCCAATAAATTGATAGATCACTATTTTTCTTCTATATGTACGGCCTTCTAGTCTCCCATGCTTCTACTTTCTCACCCAAATATGGATTGGAATATGAAACTCAAAGTTGGTTTGCCACTCATTTTTTGGGTGGAATCACAAATGCATGGGTGAGAGTGGTAACCCCTCTGTATTATTTTTTACAAGATACAAGTACAACTGTTGTTCTATCGTTTGACATAGCGATGTCCAGCACGATAACTTTAAAAATGCCCTGTTGAATAGCCATGTCAATACAGTCTGGACAAGTCGGTTACTGACGCATAGGATACTTAAATAATAATATGAAATGTTGATGTATTTGATGAACTTCACAAGACGTTTAAAAAGTGGAGTAGCGTCTAACTTTTGAAAAACACGGGTCCAATTTCAGTACACTAGCGTCTAGCTTTTGATGTGCATGGGTGTGTTGTGGACACCATGTCTAGTATTTAGACGTACCTGTTCCAAAATTTTGGTTGTTTTTTGGTGGCCAAAATACCCTGTTACATGTTTAACAGATAAAGCGCAAATGAATCTGTACCGGTATGCGTGTTCATACATCTCGGACATGGGTATGGGACCCTTGTCGAAGAATCCATGTAACATAGATATAGATATATCTTTAGAATTTACTTATATCTAGTCATGGGTAGGTTTGCGATATTGTACAGATACAGGTTCTCTAGGCCTATACAATCCATCTTGATTACTTAGTATGTGGGTGTACTGATTCGGTGTATCTGCACCATATCTACCTAACGGGAAGGGCTTAGGAGGGTTCCCTGTGATGGTTTCAGATAGCTAATACTGCTAACTGGATGCTATTCACAATTATACATTGACTTATGTTACATGACATATGGACCTAAGTCCGTCACAGCGATGCTTTGTATAATTATTAGGAATTGAAAGAAATAAAAAATGCATCTGCTATATTTGTGTGATTAAATTACCGTCTGAAGAAAGCACAATAATGGCTTTTTGGACTTCTGTATGAGTAATAAGGTTAAGGTTCTTTCTTAGTTAACTTATGTTTGATTTCTTGTTTCGAATTCTTGATGTCATACTAATCCAGAAATAGTCTTTGGTCTTAATATATCACAAACTCCCCCTACAACTTCCATGCTGGGAAGATACATTCCTCAAATCTTTTATTGGCCTGACTGCTTTTAATCTTTTCTTAATGGAAGCTCCTTCCTGAATAAACATATTACTGTAACTTGCGGCCCACTTTATGAACCAATGACAGGGCCAATTGATTTCCTGCGATGCGCACTTTGCTTTTTGCGATTGGCTCTTTTGAGTCTCCTCAATCTATGCACTTGTTCAGAAATCTTCCTAAAATGTGACAAACACTGCTCTGCAATCTATTGGTTTCTCTCAGCGCACATCGAGCAGCCATCTTGGGGAACTACTTGATCCCTAGCCTCTTGAAAACCATAGACTCCCTTGGGAACCTTGTGCCTAGCATTATTGATGTTGGTTTGCGGAATTACCTTGCTGCACAGTTGACAGAGCCTGCACAAGTGGCAGCTGGGTTGTGCAGGTGGCAAAATATCATTTTTGAATTATTTACGATTACCATGGGAAGTGTTAAGACCTTTTATTGCTGAATATAACTTTGATACTATCAATGCCTTGCAAAAATCTACGTATGATTACACAATAGTGAGATGAATGAAATAGGCTGGAATTCTATGAGTACCAATGACAAAAGTTTCTAGTTTTCTGTTGTCTTCTAACATAAGCTGTTTTATTTTGGTTATTGTCTTACAAAGTAAAATTATGTGCCCTAATCCGCAGATTTGCTTTGGCTTTCTTTGGTAGCTCAACTCATCCCCAGCTGGTTGCTCTTGTTGCCCAAGTGAGCATCGCTCTTTTCTGTGTACTGTTATCTAGGGAATTTCTATTGAACTTGCTCTTTGCATGGTTATTAGAGACTCAAATTGGTTAATGTTGATTACAGTTGTTACTGCATTAATGTCAATTTTCTTCTCTCTTTGCAACTCCACAGACATAGTAAAGAAATGAACACTTATGGAATATGTAAAAGGATTCGTCTTTCATCATTAAGGAATCTAAATATCTTTCATGTACTGATATAAAATCAAATATAGCTTGTGCTTGTAGGCAAATATTGATAGGTATAGATGCCGGTCTCTTAGTATGAGTCTTTTAAAATTTCACAAAGAGACAACAAGTATACACCTCAATCACGTAAACTATTAATGAAAGCAGAGCCACCTCTTACTCATATAACACTCTCTTAATTCAATTTACAGCAATATTTGCGGATTATAAGCACCTCTATGCATCATAATCACCATTTCTATTCATTTGGACAACTTGAGATCGCATTATAGCCAAGACAATGTACATCAAACATTTTTACATGTAGAATGACTTAATTGCAATCTCAAATTATTGCAAACACTTAACAAATGTGTTCTTAGGAGACACAAGCCATGGAAGCCAAAATCCATGCAATTTGCCTATAGTTACCTTCCGGGACTTATCACACCCACATTGGATTTCCAAAACAGATAATGCAATGATCCAAGCTCTATAACACGCAAAATATGGGAAGCATATAAGGAACTTCAAATGCACATTTTAAGCTCATCTAGGGGACTCATTTAATGCAGCAAGAGAGAGAGAAATAGGTACGTGCATGGTGCCAAATTCCAGCAAATTTTGATCCAAAAGTTTGTAGTATGGTGAAGGATCATGAGAACACAGTAAGGGTTGGGAAAAGATGAAGGAAATAGCACCAAGATAGTGATCATATTTTGCTCTAAATGCACTTATAGTAGCAGATAGAACAACATTAAGAGGCCTAGGTGATCTTTGGAGCTTGAAGAAGAAGGTCATGGAGCTTGGTGAAGCAAGGAGAGCATAGGTGCTGAGGACTCATGGCCATGGTGCCTCTCTCAACTCTCTCATAGGTGTGCCTTTCTTTCTCTCTCTGTCATAAAGCTTAGATGGTGGGGTGTCCCACCTCTCTCGTTCTCTCTTTTTGTCTCTCTAGACTAGTGTAATAACACAAACTGAATTGGATACTTTGAAGTGGGAGTTTATTTATAAGCTTTGGCTAGGAGTGTTTAGAAGTTACTTATGACGATAATTTAGATCCATTCACTTGGGAAATCTATGGGGTGAGAGAGGCTTGATCCCAGACATCCAAACCCTTGCTAGCTATCATACATAACCATCATCCCTTGACCAAATTCAAACCCAAATTTCTCTCCAATTTTTGAATTCAAAATTCCACCAATAAATAAACCCATAATTAAGACTGAATACGTTTTAATCAAATTCAAATTTTGGATCAAAGACTTAATTGCCCATCATCTTAACAATTTTATGAGAGAAATTGTCGAGAGAGGGTTGTGCTCCTTAGTGTAGATCAAAATATTCGAAAGCATAAATTTAAAACTCGAGTCGTTCTCTCACTAGTACATGGGTTATCCATGAAATCAAGGAGAGGATGCCATGTGACATGCAAGTGGATACTTTTATCCCATAATCCCTAGGGCCTAAATTGAAATATCAAACTATATGCCTGTTTTAGAGCGGAAAATCGTTGCCAGCAAAAAGGGGGAAGGTTGTGTTTGGTTGCAACCAATGGAAAACTTTTGCCACATCCCTATCATGAATTTTATGACTTCACTTAGGGTATGGCCCTTGATATAGCCGAACGACAGAACAAGATCATGTTGCCGACACCAAATAGTTGGGATAAGGCTTGGCTGATAATAATGATGATGACCATTCTAGAAGCTAGGCCATGTGCATCCCTTGTGCACCCGATGTGCACATTCCATAAATTAAGGCTATTCACAATATGACATATATCATTAGAACCAATCAACAAATGAGAACCATGCTTTCCCATTTTTGATGTGTGGATGACATCATCCTCATGTTGTCACCCTCATGTGGGCATATGGACCCCACATGCGGTCCATGTGTACACATGTGTAGGTCCCATTGGCCATTTGGGCCCAGCGTGTATAGGATTCACAAGTGGGTTCTAATTATAGGTTTCTAAAATGTTTCTAATTTTCCATGGGTTGCCATAAATAGTAAAATTTGCCAAAAATACCTAAATCATTTCTAAATGTTCTTTACCAAAATCGATTAACTTGGGCAATTAATAAAATCTATGGAAGGAACTTAGGTACCTTTAATTTTGAAGCAATTGCATAATACCAAGGGACCCCACTTCAGCTCATCTTGGACCCGGTAGCTTTCTCAAACAAACCCAAAGGAACTCATGACCCGTAGTCTTGAGCAGAGGCTCATGCTTGGTCCATCAAAGTCTATTGATAGATGGCGGAATCCCAAAATCTAGTGGATTGTAAGCGCACCCTATGGACATGTAACACATGCACCATTATGCGTGTGCGGGTATTCCTCTCTCGAGTACATACAAATTAAATATACTAAGTGATTGTTTAAAAATAATATTAGTTGGAAAATCTGCACATATTGGGATTGAAGTTAATTGAGGCATGAAGGCATAGGTCTTTGAACCCTGTTATTCACTTCCTTGTGATATGGGCCTTTATCCACAATATGAAAGACATTTGAATAAGGACAACAGCTCACATGTTGGTAAATATGGCGTAAGTCAGAAAGTAGGAAGGGTGGAGAGTTTTAGGTCCATGAGTGAACCTGGCGTATCCGTAGCTTTGAATTCTGTGGGAGATTTGAAGTTGTCTAACCAGGGACAACATGGTGTGGGCCATGCTTTAAGTATTGCACTCATCCTTCTTGCCTCAAATTGGTGGCTCAAATGTTTCATTGATCTTTGACAATGCCCTTCGCAAGGCAGAACCTCAACTTGGGGCAATAAATGGGTACCAATCCTTACCACATGAAGGTTTTATATTACGACATTATGTGAAGGGAACAGGTCTCATAGGGTTGTCCCAGACATTATAACACTTACTAGTAGATTCTCGTTTTAGTACCAGTCTCTCTGCTATTTCCTTGTCCTTAAGCATGTATTAGTTGCAGCTCAAAGGCGTGTGATGTATGGGAAACTAGACCTCCTATTTGTCTACCACTATTCTTAGGGCTTTCCAAGTCGAGAAATCCCTCTAGCCTAAGGCATGCCTCTCTTTCTTCCTCCCTTTGCTATTCCAATACTTGTAATTTCCAGCATAACTATATTGTAAAGGGAAATCTATGTAAATAGGAAATATGGAGGGTCTTAGGGAAACATGATGTGATTCCTTCTCATCTTTACATTGTGAGAATGATGAAAGATGACAACTAGAGATCTTTTCCAGTTGGGTATCGCTTTATTTACAAAGCAAACTTAAGTTATTTGTAATATCATGACTTGAATTTCAAGTGATTATTATGGGAAATGTGTCTCCTGTGTATGTCACGGGTGGGTGCTTGCTTGCACACAAGCACCTGTCTGGGTATTTTCTCTGTTTATGATCATTTAGTAGTTGTCAAGTGCTTGAAATGTAATTCAAATTACTTGAAATCAGGGAGGAAATATGGCAAACGAACCATGTGCTTACTACTTTTGTCATGTTGCATTATTTTTTAAAGTCCAATGGAGTTCAGCATTGCACTTTCAAATCATAGTTCTCAAATTTTCCATTTCCATTTTTCCCATTGTAATGCTTAGGCACTGACTGGTGCATATGTTCGTGCCATTTGAATTAAGATGTGCTTAAATTTCTTGACCTGTTCTGTTGTTGGTTAACATTTTACTGATACTATTTTGCATTGGCAGGATGACATGATCAGGAACGGTGTTCAACTTGAGCCCCCGGGGATGCATATGATCTACCTTCCTTACTGTAATGACATCCGGAGCATAGAAGAGGTTAGATGAGACAAACAATTAATCTTGCTTTGTTATCCCCCTTTTGAACGACATTGAACAAGTTCTAATTTGGAGTTCTCTCTCTTTATTGCATTGTAAGTAGTGATATTAATGAACTAGGATGCTATAATTTTAAATGCAGATGCTCATACTAAAACACTATGATGCACTGTTCCAAAAACATCATATTCAAATAGAAATATTATTTTTCCTTTATGGGTAACTGGGAATTAGACCTTTTCCCTAGTGTTCAATGAATGACCTCTATATCTCAGTGCTTTCAGCACTAGATATAGTGTGTTAATCCTCTTGTCATGTAGTCGTGCTCGATTAAAAAATGAAAGCTTAAACTTTTCTCTCAACACATATTTTTGGGTTTCCCATGTCAAAATGCAGCTTCAAAATCATGATAGTGATACTATTCCTAGAGCAACGGATGATCAAATTGAAAAAGCAATGGCTGTGATGAAAAAGCTGGACTTGAAAGAATTTTCAATTTCTCAATTTGCAAATCCTGGTATGTCATTTTTCTTTTGTATGTTCATTTCTGTAATTTTATCTCACTTGCATGAAGATATATTTCATAGTTTGATTTGAGTGTTAGCGTTGGTTTTATATGAAAGGTGTGGCTGTGTAGAATTCCAAAATATAAATTCAATTTTTTTCTTTTTTTCTCTAGTAATAATTGGAATTTCTACTTACAATTGCCACAATACAATGCAGAAATACACCTATTGTTTAGGATCTTTAAATTTTACTGCCAAATGCTTTATTTAAAACAAAAAAATTCAAACTTATAACTTCAGAAACAAATAGTAATCATGAACAACAAAATAAATGAAACATGGAAGACTTGTTGAAATATTTCCTAGGGTTACCCCCTTAGGACTTGGTATGTCCCACACTCGATCACCTGACCGATGGGGCACTTGATTATTAGATCTTGTTGAATTCATCAATTTGAACTGGGAATCACCTTTGGAATGCTCGTATTTGAATTCTATGGGGCTGAGAGCATGGGTCAGAATTAGACTTGTCCTCTGAGGGGGAACCTGTAATTCATGTACTAGGACTATGTTTTCATCACTTATTGGCTGGCTTTGGTAGTCCAGTCATGAACTCCTGTGATGGACTGTGGGCCATAGGAGCTATTGAGTCAGTTTGAAAAAGTGAGTGTGAGACATGGTCACCAGGGGAGATAGAGTGCCTCAATATATTCGCATCTTCCTTAACGAAGTTAGATCCAATTCCCATCAAATAAATTTAAGATATTTAATTTTATGTTAAATGACTTTTTAGAATATTAATATGCATTTTAAGATACATCTAGATATTTGTTTTATCAAAATAGAATTTAAAAGGGCTAAAATTGATTTTGCAGGAATTAAAATAGTAAGATAAAAATAAAATACTTGTGCTTGTCTAAAAATCGTTTTATTTGTTTTAAAATTTATTTAAGATTGTGGGGGCCCAAAATTCATTGGGACCTACCACATTAGGCCCTTGAGATGGGGGTGTGGAGCCCACTATGACTTCCATAAGTGTGGCTTGATGAAGAAGCCACATAGGTTGATTTGAAATTTAAAGAAAGACTTGTGAAAGAGGATGGTTGTTTTCAAAATAGGAAGGTATAGAGATTGATTGAAATTAAATAAGAAATACATAGTATTTTTCTCTATACAAAATATTTGTTGGAATTGGGTTAAGGAAGCTGAGGGATAAGATTCTAGCACCGTCCTTTAAATCATGATAGCAGATCTAAGGATTTTATGGCTTAGATCTCTCACCCCACATGTCACCTATGATCTGCGGTCAAGATCGAATCTCTATAATGATGGCTAACTCTCATTCCGAAAACCCTAGACTCAAAGTTGTAAATGCATCATATTGGGGGGTCCATTCTACACTTCCCTAAGTTGCTCATTTCTTTCTCTCTTCCTCCTAGGGTGGCATGCCACCCTCTCTCTATTCTCATCTCTCTCTCTCTCCAAAAGACTTAGAAAAGAAAAGAGGGGCACGCCTCATGGAGAAGAAAAGGGAACACGCCTCACATAGTTGCATCAAAGAGAGGCCTTATTTTTTGCATACATGCTCTTGTGTTTTAAGATAAGGGTTTAGCCAAACTTCCCATTTGTTGATATTCAAGAAAGACCAAATATCCCATGCACCATTGTTGGAGAAGACCCGGTGTCGGGTGGACCAAGTCCATTAGAGGTATCTTTTGGCAAACTACTTGATTTTGTTATACTATGTTTTTCTTGTTCCCAATCTCCAATTATGTATCTATGATTATGTAATGAGAAAAGTTTTTGAGAGGTCGCAGCAAGTGCGAATCCTTTTCTTGGCTTTTTGCTTATTTTATTGAGTTGAAATTGTAAATCTTGGACATATGTAAGTGTTTTAGCCGGTATTGCAAAAGAAAATTTTAAATTATACATACTATGCTAGATCACGTCGTCCACTTTCCAAGCCAGCTTCAATACTATCCTCATTGAGTTCAAAATCTTCTACTCCTTTCCGTACTCGAAGTCCTAATCCAACTTTAGAATTTGAAATTAATCCAAACATAGTTAAAGCCTAACCAAAACTGTAACTTTGCTGTTCATAATTTAACCCAATATTCTCAACCTTACCCCTCAATTTACCCCACTAAACCGTCCTACACTCCTATAGAGCCAAATCCCCTTTGTCCTACATCAAGTAACCAGAAATGCTACCAAAAATAGTTTTCAAATTGAGTAGGGCCATTGCATTCCAAAAATTGTCGAACACTTACAGGGTTCGCTGTAGAATTGTAAGCTATACATGCCTGCACACAAATATACCTACATGCACATGTAAAATTTATTCAAAATTTTCATCACTTGACTTTTGGAGTTTTATGGATTATTAATTATTTTAATAATCACTCTTGATAACAATCTGCAGCCTTGCAGAGACATTATGCATTACTGCAGGTCTTGGCTCTAGGGGATGATGTTGATGAGTTGCCTGAGATCAATGATGAGACGTTACCTGATGAAGAAGGCATGAGAAGGCAAGACTCAAAACTATTAACATTTTCTTACTGTTAATTATGTCAAGTCACACTGGCATTATTGAGACTCTGATTCTGTAAGCATGTCACAGACCTGGGGTTGTTAATGCATTGGAAGGCTTCAAGGCTGCAGTTTATGGTGAGAACCATGACGCTGAGGAGGCTGCATTGGAAGCTACCAAATCAGGTGGCGAGGCATCTAAAAAACGAAAGGCTGAAACAGCTGTTAAGGAAGCAGCAAATTATAACTGGGATGACCTTGCAGAAAGTGGAAAGGTGAACAGATATAGCTATTTTAGCAGTTATTCTTTTGGTAACGTCAATCTGTTTGTATGACGAAGATCATTCTGATGTATTTGCGCGTTGTGTCTACAGCTCAAGGATTTAACTATGCCAGAGTTGAAAAATTATTTGGCAGCACACAACCTCCCAGTTACTGGTAAGAAGGATGCACTGATTAGCCGGATCTTGACACATTTAGGAAAGTAGCTGCTCAGCTCCAAAGTTTTGTATCTGATTCTAAACTTGTTGCAATGTTATTATATTCTGATGTATGTAACAGCTCTTAGATGCCATTTCAATAATATACACGAAGAGATGCACCTTGGTTCTCTTTCTGATATTGGTAAACCTTTTTGCACCACTAAAATGACACAACTTACAATAATGATAATTGCTTTGGGAACTAGTTTATGAAAAAATGTGAATCCCGCCTCGGACAATTCACTTGAAACTGCGGATGACCATCTCCAACCAATCTAGATCCAATTGCAGTTGGTAGAGTGTTACCAAGGTGAACAAGATAATCAGATCTGGAATCATCCCAAGGTTGGTAAGGAGGTGGGTGGCAAGTTTGTCTTTCTCAAGGGGGTATGAAATGTTGATCCTTGCCTTTGTTCAGTAATGCTCAGATTGCATATGTGAATGTGGCGTAAATGCCAAAGGATGATGAGACTTCTGTTTTATAATGCCGATGGCGTAAATGTCAAGGATGACGAGAGTTCTCTTTTATAATGCTGACATTGAAGATTGAGTCATCATCAATCCAGATCCTCAAACTTGGCATGGTGATGCCTCGTCTCAGGGAATTGCGGGAGTAATTATTGAAGCTTGTAGCAAAGATGTACATAATATTTTGTGCAAGCTTCTAGCCTTACCTATGATGAGCCATGAAAATTGAGTTCAATACGGTGTTTCAAAAAGTGGACCGCCCAGCGTCTAGGTGGTCCAGAAGGCCTAGGAGCATCGCTCATGCCTTGGCGGCAAAATAGGTAGTGGTTCTTGGGCGGTCGACTAGGCGGTACAACACCCGCCTAGGTGGGCTCCAAACGCCCAACCCTTGGCGGCCGCCCTGAGCCCTGTCTAGGGTTGGAAATGATATTTTTTATTTTTATTTTTTATTATTCTATTGAGGTTTTTGAAAAAATAAAAGCTTTTAAGGGTGTGTTTTAGTTTCATTTGAAACCTAAACCCATAAGAATCCATTTGAGAGAGAGACCTCAAAAAAAATAGATTTTGAGATTTTCATTGGATCAAAGTGTTTATCAAAGTTATAGAAAATGGATTCAAACATTACTCAGGTAGATTATATTTAGTTTTGAATTTTTTTTAATATATTAGAGGGTGTTTTTGAATATTTTAGCATTCAAAAATATCTCAGAGGTGAAAGTTTGGAGTTCAATCAATCAAAGTAAGTATAAAACGTTTTTAGATTGTTTGTTTTATTTTGAAATGTTTTCTTCAAGATCTAGTCGAAGTGGAGATCTGGGTTGGAAATATGGATATAACTCGAAACCAAATGGCAAAAGTTGCATTAGATGCAATTATTGTGAAAACGATACAAAAGGGGGTATAAACTTGTTTAAGAAACATCTTGTCGGTTATTTGGGGGGATGCTGCCCCTTGTAAAAATGTTCATGAAGCTATAAGAGAGGAGATTAAACAATATATGAGTTCTATAAAACAAAAATATGAATACTATTTTTGTCATTTGAATAGATCTATTTCTGGTTCTGCTAGAAGAAATGATCCGGGTTAAAAGTATGGTCATAACTTGAAACCAAACAATAAAAATTATAGAAGGTATAATTTTTGTATAAAAGATACCAATGAGGGTATTTAACGAATCAAGAAACACCTTGCTGGTATTAAGGGAATGTTACTTCTTGTAAAAGGGTTCATGAAGCTATTCGGGATGAGATTAGACAATTTTTATATTTAGAAGAACTATAAAAGAATGAAAATGAGTATTGTTCTATGGAAATATTTGTTGCAGGTTCTTTTAGAAGTGGTGATTCGGGTTGGAAGTATGGTTATAACTCGAATCCGAATAATAAAAATCGTATTACATGTAATTATTGTGCAAATGATATTAATCGGGGTATTTATCGGTTAAAAAAACATCTTGTTAGTATTAAAGGGGATGTTGTCCCGCGTAAAAAAAAGAGGAGATTATACAATATTTGAATTCAGGGAAGCACAAAAGGATAAAAAATGGTAGAACTACCAAGACTCCTAGAGCCTCATCTACACATAGTAAGAGGGATGTAGAAGAGGAGAAAGAAGCAGATTCAGAAGAAACAGATGAGGATGAGAGTTATATTGAAGACGGATATGACTCTGATAATGATGGCCTTGAATCTGATGCATATGATATGGTTTACCCTACTCCTTCAGATGATGATGATGACTGTAGAATGAAGAGTTGAAGACGCTCGAGTGCTTGACTCTTGGTATTGACTGTTGAGTGTTGACTATTGCATCCTAGACTGTATATTTTTTGAATTTCTGTATATTTTTTTTTCTTATTTTTTAGTATCTACTTTCTACTTTCTATTATGTAACTTTTGTGTGTATCAGACTATTAGTGTATGCTTGCATGGTTTTATTATTTCAGTATTGTATGAAAGTATATCTTGTGCATTATCAAAATTTTCTTCTCGACTTCTCCTCAATTCCTCATTCATGGGAATATTAAATATGAATTATGGATAGAATATCAAAATTCTAATACTTGTGGTTAGAATATCAAAATTCTCCACATTTGTATCAAAATTCTATATATATATTTCTTAACTGGGCTGCCTAGACAGTCGCCTCGGTGCTGGGTGGCTTGGACCCCCACAGCTGCCCGGGTACCACATAATGCTTTTTGAAACACTGGTTCGATAGCTCCCAATTTACCAAAAAGTAGAACATCTGATAGTTCCCAGTTATTGTGTTTCTTCGCTTGATGGTTGAGATATGTAGAGCGCAGCCTAAGCTTTCCTAAGTAATGGTAGAATCTGGTATTGCCATATTGGTTTCAACCTTGGGCTGCTGACAGATTGTTGTGAGATGAGATTATGTTCATGAGTTAGTATAGCATTACTTGTTTTGTCATTTCATTGGTGGTTATACTTTTCTTCTTGGTAGCAATTGGATTCTTATGTTCTTGAGTTTAATTGGTTCATTAGAGGAGTTGCTTTCCAATACAGATAGAAAATGATTCAGCCCTTTTGTAGATGTCATTCATAATCGATATCGTGCTCCATGGAGGCTAAAGACGATTGTTGATAATTGCTGTATTAGGCTTTCTTCTCATCGATGGTCTATTGTACATATTTTTTGGGAGGCAAATATGGTTGCGTGATTTGACACAACTGTCCTACTATAGGATTGTACGTTAATTGTTTTTCTCTACTCATTTATTAATGAAAAAACAGGTTTAGGACCTTCTCCCTCACCGACTTGCCCAAAACAACAAAAGCAATTGGATTCTTAGTTAATTGTAAGGCTTATATATGTAAGGAACTAAGCTTTCAATGTCTCGTGGTTAACGTTTTGTGGTCATTATTGGAAAACTTTTGTGGACCATCTCAACTGCTGTCCAAATGACCTAGACAACATTGTCCTAGGAGTCTATGCGGTTGCTTCAAGGTGAGGCGGTTAAGTGGGCCTAGAGGTATTTTGCCTGAAGTGGTGTACTTCTATCGCTTCTATTTTGGAACTGATTAGAAGCTATTTTGGGGACACATCAAGTGACAATTTTGAGTAATATTTGTTCTTACTTAGGCAATAATTGAGGTTATTTTTCTATTTAGGTAACTCAACGAAAAATTTAGGGTGAAAAGAAAAGACCTCCACATTGTCTTTATTGTTCTAGATAAAGCTTATGATAGAGTACCTCCATATTTATTTGGTAGGTATTGGAAAAGAAATGAGTCTCTAGATAATACATTGATGTGGCGAAAGATATGCATAAGGGAGTGCCAATTATTGAAGAGACGAGTGAGTTTTCAGTGACAATAGGTCCATATCAGGTGTGAGCCCATATCTCTTTATCTTAGTTATGAATGACTTAAACTAGACACCTACAATATGTGGCACCGTGGTGCATGTTGTTCGGGGACAACATAGTTTTGATCGATGAGACCCGAAATGACATCAACACAAAGTTAAAACTTTGGAGAGATGCTCTAGAATCTAAAGGTCTTAAAATTAGCCGGATTAAGACAAAGCATATGGAGTGCCAATTTAGTAATAATATGAGTAGAGACGAGGAAGTAGTTAAAACTGATGGTCAAGAAATACAAAAAAAACACACTTTTGATATCTTGGGCCGATAAATTCAGAAAAATAAAAAAATTGATGAAGATGTTGCACATAGAATTAGAGTTGGGTGAGTTGGATGAGCGAAGTGGAGATGTGTAACTGGAGTTTTATTTGATTACCACATATAAATGAAGTTGAAGGGTAAGTTTTATAAGACAACTGTGAGAACAACTTTGCTTTATGGGGATAGAATGTTGGACGGTCAAGTAACAATATACTCATATAGGATGAGTTTAGGTGAGATGAGGATTTTGAGATGGATGAGTGGCAAGATAAGAAGGGATTGAACTCGAAATGATTACATTTAGGAGAACTTACGTGTGATGCCTATAGACAATAAGATGAGAGATAGTACACTTGGGCAGTCTAGCCATGTGCAGCGCTGATCCAGTACTACATCTATTAGGAAGTGTGAGTTAGTTCAAATAAAAGGCAAAAAAATAACAAAGGGTAGATTCAAAAGGACATAGTTGGACGGAGTGAGAAAATATATGAGGATTTATGGCCTCATTGAGGGTATAATCATTGATAGAGTAGAATGACGAATGATGATTCATGTAGCCGACACCAAATAGTTGGAAAAAAACTTTTGATGATGATAATTCATTCCCTAATCCTTCACTTTTCAATATCGGCTTTGCCTTCCAAAATGCACGATTAAGGTTCCATAAACAGTCAACTCCGCAAGCCGGAAGAAAAAAATTACTAGTGTTTGTAATTTTACGATAAAGATACTCATGGAAGTTTTGAGACAGGCAAATATGTTCACTACTTTAAATGTTTATAAAAGGGTAACCGTGAAGCTAAAATTGATGTATAAAGTTTGCCTTGATACGTTACCTTTAAAGAATTGGGGATGTGACGGGTGATATGGAGGTTGCAGTGGTTATCAGGTTTCACTTGAAATTACCAGTGTTATTGGGCAGGGAATTTTCTGGTCTAAAAAGCGTGAGGATCTTAAATTTTTAACTACACCGAAGTGCAAGTAAAGGAGGTTGCTTACGTTAAGTAGACAATCAACATAAAATTTTGCCAAA